TAAAACATTGTTATCAAGTTTGAAGGAATTTGGCTAATTTTTGCGAGAGTTAATGAACAGAAACGGCAGATAATGACGTTTTCGTTATTCAAGGGGCCATTACTCCGCCAAATGGGGTCCGCTGAAAATGGTCATTAAACGTAGCCGTGCCCGTAAGGCATTTAACCCCGTGACCAAGTTTGAAAAAAATCGGTTAACATTTATTGTAGTTATTGAACGAAAACGAAACGCAGCAGATAATGACCTTTTCGTTATTCAACTGCCATAACTCCACAAAATCGAGTTCTCTGGAAGTGGTCATCAAACTCGGCCGAGCCCGTAAGGCATTTAACCCCGTGACCAAGTTTGAAGAAAATCAGTTAACATTTGTTGTAGTTATTGCACGGAAATGAAGCGCAGCAGATACTGACGTTTTTCGTTATTCAAGGGGCAATAATTCCACCAAATGATGTCCGCTGAAAGTGGTCATCGAACTTGGTCGAGGCCTTAAGACATTTAACCCTGTGACCAAGTGTGAAGAAAATCGGTCAACATTTGTTGTAGTTATTGCACGGAAACGAAGCGTGACAGACAGACTGACAAACCCAAATTAATATCCGCCGTTTCGGTGAAAGCGGGGATAACAAAGAAATGATTCAACAAACTTACATATACTCAGCAAAACCAAGAAAGGTTAACATACTACCTTGTAAAACGCCAAAATATCGTTGATTATAAAATGACTTTTTAGTGGCTAGCAAGTTTAGTAAGAATGTTTGTATCGATTAGCAGTATTTTAAATTAAATCAATCATGCGTGCAACTCGCCGGTCACCATGAAGCTCCAAACAGATTTCTTCACTTTTTCTCTTGTTTACCGCCACTGAACAGTCTAAAGCAGAGTGTACACATATTCAAAACCGTTAACTGGTGAAAACTCACTAGATTAGTTTGTAAAGTTATCCGTTTAGGCAATGCAGTGGCTGTCTAAATAGAGATAGACAGAGCGTTTGGTATGCCCCAGATAGGGGTGAAGCATCGTGAAGTTTTGAGTGCGGCAGTGTCGACGTACGACCGCCAAAGAAGCGGTAGACCACGAGTTACCACCCCTTGTGAAGACAGCCGGATATAGCTGCAGCTTCTGCGCGTTAAGTTCCCATGTGAATACTTACATCATACCCATTTGTCGTATCTAGCTCGAGCTCACCACTGATGGGTAACTGCATAGTCTCGAGTCGTGAAAGCTTCGCAAACTGCTGTGTTAACTAACGTGACAGGTTTGATTGGGGGACGTCATGGTCCTGGTTGGTATTTCCGGTGGTAATCGTATCAGATTAACTGAAGAGTGGAACAAAATCCCCTTGATATATTCCGACGTTTCACTAGAGCAAAGCGGCGTCGTTGTAATGCAGTCATCCAGGCTGATGGTGGTCATACACGCTACTAAAAACTTAAAAACATGACTTCAAGATCCCAAAGTATCGCTGAACCGTAACGAATTGTTTAAACCTCTAATATTCCAAAATCATACATCCATATTAATCATTTCCTACTAAATTCAACATATTTAAAAAAAAAAACATGTTATAGAGGCCCCTGATACAATTCTTGTTAACCTTTCTTGTTTTGATGAATATATACATAACATCAAAACTATAATCGATTTTGATGGTTTAAGGAATGATTTTTATTTTTTCAACATTTATGAGGTCATAACAACAATGGGTTTATGGACATATTGAATGAATCGCGTTAGCGATTCATGTAAAATATGTCCAAAAACCCATTGTTGTTATGACCTCATAAATGTTGAAAAAATAAATATCATTCCTTATATTTACATTGACGAATCCTTTCAGTGGATCGATATAACAACGAATAAAACAAATAAACAGGGTTTGTTCCTGCTTATACACGGGTGCAACGCAGTGGCGAGAACAGTGTTTTTTCGCGGGGAAATGTGACACTATCGTGAGAGATCTTAGCAACCGTCAACAACAATAACACAACAAAATGTAGTTCCATATTCAATGTTTATTTGTAGCACAGGACACGTGAATACGTGGATATTTCACCAAGCACAGTTCAATAATATTTTAAGATGTAAGAATTAAGCATCTAGGTCGGTCGTTCCGAGTGAGTAGTTTTTGTAGTGTATTACTACGCAGTGTGATCAGGTTACTATCAGTTCCCACGTGCTGAGATTCTATGAACACCTGTGTTATGCATTTATGAATGTAATTTTTGTCAATGGGTCTAAGCATACAGAATGTAAATATTTAGCAAATAAAACTATGAAAATGCCACGTTTCATATTTGTAACGCACAATTAGTGGTACGACGTGTGTAATTGGTTACGTATATCAGTGAATCCAGGATTACATAGATATGAGCTGATAGTCTCAACTGACCACCTATGCACGTACCAATAGATTATAATCGGGTATAAATATAACCTAGAAAGGAGATAAGGGGAGAAGAGCAAGGGACGGCTAGAGAAGATGTTAGACGAACAAGGGACGGCTAGAGAAGATGTTAGACGAACAAGGGACGGCGAGAGTAGATGTTAGACGAACAAGGTACGGCGAGAGAAAATGTTAGACGAACAAGGTACGGCGAGAGAAGAGGTTAGACGAACAAGGTACGGCGAGAGAAGAGGTTAGACGAACAAGGTACGGCGAGAGAAGAGGTTAGACGAACAAGGTACGGCGAGAGAAAATGTTAGACGAACAAGGTACGGCGAGAGAAGAGGTTAGACGAACAAGGGACGGCGAGAGAAGAGGTTAGACGAACAAGGTACGGCGAGAGAAAATGTTAGACGAACAAGGTACGGCGAGAGAAGAGGTTAGACGAACAAGGGACGGCGAGAGAAGAGGTTAGACGAACAAGGTACGGCGAGAGAAAATGTTAGACGAACAAGGGACGGCTAGAGAAGATGTAAGACGAACAAGGGACGGCGAGAGAAGAGGTTAGACGAACAAGGTACGGCGAGAGAAGAGGTTAGACGAACAAGGTACGGCGAGAGAAAATGTTAGACGAACAAGGTACGGCGACAGAAGATGTTAGACGAACAAGGTACGGCGCGAGAAGAGACTAGAAGGGCTAGGGACGTTTAATACCAACGACAGAGACCAATCCCAACACTTGAGATTGATAAACTTCTAACCAACCATCAACTCTTGTCACTCGTGTTGTGTTACATACTCGAGAAATGCTTAATAAGAAAGTAAATCAGAATAACCGATCAGGCTTAACATCCAACATGGACTAGAAGTTTTATCGAGGTCACGAGGTTCCTCTTTTACAATCCCCTATCGTGAAAACGTTGGTATGTTTACAATTATATCAAACACTCTATCTCTAACACTTTATCAATCACTGATGAGTCTAGAAATTACCAAGCAATGAACTCGGTCCTATTCCATTCCCTTTCATTTCCACAGTAACATTATTGATGTTTTAAATGAAAATAAATAAAATAACTAGAACACTGACAGGTCAGTAAGGGCCCCGTCTTGTGGCAATATATCCCCCATAATCATCAAGAAGCAACCTGCCCATATAGCTGAGCTTGACGTTTGATATGTGGACTTCAAAAAAGAATCGCAAGGTAGCAAAATATACATCTTACATGTACTATGATGTGAGTCTTGTTTCCTTCCACCTCCATATTTGCTGGGCTAACAGAAATGTAAATACTGGTGCAATACTCATTTGTTAGATTTGAATTGTTTTATTTAACCTTATATACCTCCTCCATCAAGAGCCAGGGTCAAAGTCAGAGATCCACTTTGTCTTTGCCCTTTGGAACCGAATGACCTTGACCATTAACCCAGTGACCCTGATCTTTGGTCAGTTGACTTATTCTTTAATTCCGACCAACTTTGCTCCTTAATATCATTACAAAATGTTCATCAGTGAAAATACAAAACTTGACCTTGACCCTTTGAAACCCGTAACCTGCACCTAAGGTCAGTTGACTCTGTGTTAAGTTCTGAACAACATTGCTTCATAATGTCATAACAAAATGTTCATCAAGGAAAAGATACAAAATTTAACCTTAACCTTTGACCCAGTGACCTTGACCTTTGGTCAATTGACTCCTTGTTTACTCTGAGCTACATTGCTTCAAAGTGTCAAAGCGAAATGTTCACCAGTGAAAGATACAAAATTTAACCTTGACCTTTGACCCAATGACCTTGACCTTTGGTCAGTTGACCCCTTGTTTAATTCTGATCAACTTTGCTTCATCATGTCATAGCAAAATGTTCATCAGTGAAAAGGTGCATAACTTGACCTTGACCCCTGACCCGATGACCTTGACCTTTGGTCAGTTGTCTCCTTGTTTAATTCTGATCAACTTTGCTTCATAATGTCATAACAAAATGTTCATCAGTGAAAAGATGTAAAATTTGACCTTGAACTTTGAACCTTATGACCTTGACCTTTGACCTTGACTTTTTACCTCAGTGTGTCTCTTTGTTTAATATCGAACATCTTTGCTCCATAATGTCACAGCGAAATGTTCACCAGTGAAAAGCTACAAAATTTGACCTTGACCCCTGACCCTATGACCTTGACCTTTGAACAGTTGACTCCTTGTTTAATTCTGATCAACTTTGCTTCATAATGTCATTACAAAATGTTCATCAGTAAAAAGATGTAAAATTTTACCTTGAACTTTGAACCTTATGACCTTGACCTTTGACCTTGACTTTTTACCTCAATGTGTATTTTTGTGAACTAAACATCTTGACCAAGTTTCATGTACATCGGTCAATAAATACCACAGTTATCAGCCAGGAACAAAATTTGTGGACGGACAGACAGACAGACAGACAGACAGACGGACGGACGGACAGACAGACAGACAGAGTGATTTCTGTTTCGTTTACCAAAATTCTAGCTGAAACGAAAACCTATTTTCTTAATGCATTTTATTTTGTAACGGAAGTAAGATTGACACCAGATGAAAAATGAGCATGTCGTTAAGCTGAATTAAAAAAGAAATAAAATAGTGTATATAAATGATTTAGCTGCTTTATTCAAGTAGGGCTGTAGAACAACAAATAACAACGTATTGAAGTAATATTCATCATCATACCAGGTATATATATATATTTACATTTGCCCCCGCGCCATCCCATTACAACAGTGTTAGAGGGCAAGTGTAATTATATAGGCTATAATTACAACTGCTCGACTATAATTACAACTGCCTGTTTCAGGTGTAGGAATATGTAAACAAACAAAATGGCCGTCTGAAATGTATTTTGAGGCAGGGCAAATGGTTTTATTACAAATAAAATGTGTTAAAAAAGAAAAATATGTAAATATAAAAAATACCTGGTTGTCTGAATGTAGCGGGTTTTATGGGATTTGCCAGAGGCCACTTGTAATTATATCAACAATCATTACATCCAGACAAACCAGTTATTGTTTAAATGATTACGATATACAGAGATGAAAGTTAACATAATAAAACAATATATATATAATGCAATCATTTGTAGAACAATAAGTTAACAACAAGGTGTATATAAAAACTTAACGTACATTTTATAAAATTGTCAATATTTACAGCAAAAGTGTTTTTATTTACAATGAAAAGTATTGCGTTGATTTTGTTCAGTAGTACTACATGTAAAATGTGCACAATTTTCTGTAAAACATTAACGATCACCGGGAACTATTGGTATCCAGCGTCACTTATCCTTTAAAATACCTATTCAGAAAAGTGTTATCTTACATATCTTATAGGTATGATTTGTTTAAAGATTCCAAACTACAGAAACTATTTCAGATCCTGATTTCACCTTGATAGATCTTTGGTAGATGAGGTTTTGTCGACTCCATGTACGACAAAGGTAGCTACAGTGTTAGTGTATAAATCATAAACATTGTACTGGCATAAACATTGTACATACCTACTCTACACATACATCACAACGTGTCGACAGTTAGTCGGGTTGGCCTCTTACCGGTAGAGGAAGACCGTCTGAAGGCCCTATATTTACGGTAGCTGATTCGTGTCATTTGTGTCGTACTTGTCGACCCGAAAAGACGGGACTCAGTAACTTACAATTCTCGTTGTGTTATCGTTCAATTTTCGCGGCGAAAAGACGAAACAACGATAATTAAGGTTTGTGGATTCTCGTCTTTTCGAGAGAAAAAAAAGACAAAACAACAAAAATGAACAAATTAGCCACCTTATATATTTCACAAGACCATGTTTCTGGACGCATCCACATGTGGTATTACATAATAACACGGAGTGTACACTAGCCTAGTCAAAGTACTGGACGGAAATATTTACATTATATAAACATTGACAAAGTGGTAAAGCTTCCAATTGTCAATGTAAAATTCATGTGACATTTAATAACTATATCGATACTATAAACTTTTGGTCAAAACTTTACTCAATAAACGTTCTCTCAAACCACCAGGTCTTTCGAAATAGGTGATTTAAAATCTTCTAAATCCAAAAGTATCGTTCTCAATAACACATATAATCTGCAGAATGGATATGCATATCAAGGCAGTTAATTTTAGATTTGTAAGCTTAACAAATGCAAATAATTAACAATCACAATTAAATAAATTGATCGAAAAATCTTTAAACTTTTCTTCATGAGTTATAAAATGTCCCGGATAGTTTTAACAGTACAATTTATTGTTATCAACAAAAATATCTATGTCACTCGAACTGATTAAACTGTCTTTGGCCACAACATGACTTGACAAAATTATCACGCAGCACTAAAAAATGTTTATCAGCTAACAGAGCTACAGTTGCCAAACATTCCGATAAGCGCATTCGACGATATTCTTACTCGCTTACATAGAGAAATTACAATATACTGCTAATTTTCTCATAGATATACAATGTACAATGTAACATGATAAGATTTTAACAAAATATAACAGAGATAGAGAGGGGAAAATGTGGTTTAACACACACATCACCATATGTAGCCGATGGCCTGATTACAGACAACGAAGTCCAGTTAGCTTGACAGGAGAAGATGAATACTTACAAATTATACATAGACAAGTATTCCCAGACCTCCTCTGGCATGTTAATTACTACGTGTGATGATACTGTCGGTGCCATCAATCAGTCAGTCCCTCTGTAGATTTTATGAGTACATACGTACCATTGATTAACAAGAGGAACATCAACAGAAAATCTTATACAAGTACATAGATCAAATGGAAGCTGGCATTCGTTAGCATTTATTAGTGTATAAAAACGACCTGCTGGCGACGTTGCGTGTGCCAATATACATTATGTAGAGCGATTTAGCCTTTACAAGCATTTTCCCGATCTCGAAATTGAACTAATTATTACCTCTATACAATGTATATATGTCTGCTCTCTCTGCACTGAAAACACACAGATGAAAACAATCGACCAGGTTACACAGTGACCTACATACGTGATCAAATATCCAGTCTTAGATGGAACAATGCCAACGTCTCTCCCGGCATACACGCCTAACAGATGTAAGGCTAGCCTGATATACGTATGCGTAATGCAATTTAGGAATAAAATTTAGCTCAGAATTTTTTTAAATTGGCAAAATATTGGAACAGTTAACGTTATTAACGTTAAGCGTAGTTTGACTGAAACAGGCATGGACAAGACATCTGATAATCGATAAAGCAAACAATAGACATTTGTTTAACGTACTTTATCACTACCATTATATGTCAACAGGCATGATACCTCTGCACATACAGTTACTGTCACTCAGTACATTTTGAGAGATTAAAATTTTCATGTTAAATAGCTTGTATGTATTTATATAAAAAAAATATTATTTGTTATCGAAAATTTTACAATTCAATTAATTCCTCATGTTTGAAGCACAATTATAAGAAATAATTATTCTCTAAAATAAAATAAATTACAAAAAATCGTACAAATCTGAAGATTACATATATTTTGCGTGAGTTTAATTTCACGCAACTAACCTCCTGTACTTATTCGTTTAGACATTAAAAATCACGATTTACGCCAATGGGATGTCTGCGGTACCTTCTTCACTATTAACGCGAAAATAAACTCGCACAAAAGTAAGTAATCATTCGTATATCACAACAAGTATCACAGTGTTCAATGATAACATTATTTCATTATTAAAACAGAACAAACTACAAAATGCCTGGATTTAAAAATAACTGTTGACAAACAATACTGTAGAAAGGAAAGTAGTATGACTGTTCTGTTATGATACACAATACAAAGCCTGTGTTTACAAAGTTATACAATATTAGGAATAAGCCATATATATCTTGCTATGGTATAAGTTAAAAGCGATAGGCTGATCCTTATTCATATATTCACACATTTGGCATTTACATCGTGAAAGCCATCATGTTTTCCGAAAACATCCTACTCCATCAGCCTGTTCATCACCTGGTATTGCATTTGAGTCAAAAACGAATCCAAGTCTTGTATTCTTAAACTTGATTTTAGATATCATCGTTGGATATTTCGGCTTTACAGTCTCTGTCTTAGTGACGATATAGATCATAGACCTAGCACGCGCAATTCTCCAACTTTCTGTGTACGCTGCATTACCGGAAGTGACAAGCCACTCCCTTCGGAAATGGTTTTGGTGGTAAGAGTCGACAACCAGATCGTGTTTAGGAACAGCGACAAATCTAAGTTCATGGTAAATGGGCTCACCATTCATTCTAAACTTGAAGAGATGATCTTTAGTTTACCTCTCAATCAGCTTGATCTTGAATGGTTTTGGCCTCAGGGTCAGTCCGGGAATACCCGTTATATCCGGAAGTGGATCACCAGCCGGACATGTGAGCTCGTATTTGGAGAGGAGACAAGCGCAGTACATGAATATTTCCATTTTGGAAATGTTTGATCCCAGACATACTCGGTTGCCAATTCCGAACGGTAAGTAACTGTACCTTTCTCCCGGACACTCTTCAAGGAAACGACCTAAAATAGGAAAATTTACAATAACAAACAGTGAAATGATCAAACACTGGCGTGCCTCTCCGCACTGAAGTAGTTTCAGCGAATAATGATAACGAAGCCATGCAGATAATCTATTACGCCAAGTCATCGTCTGTGTTCTGATATTAGTTACATTAGATGTTGCTTAACACTACATACATAATATCATCGTCGACAAGATTCGATGAAACATTATACAAATAAAGTGACACTAGTTTAACAAGATCCTCTAGATAGGTAGCGAAAGTAGAAGTGAATTACACCAATGATTACCATCGCTGATCATTAATGTATTAATGCTTTACGTGTTAACGGTGAGCTACCTACCCGGGTTGAAGCAGTATGGGTCATGCCATGCTTGCTTGTCGTGGTGGATAGCCCAGATATTCATCAGAACCATGGTGTCCTTAGGGACATGGAACCCGGAAAGTCTGTGGAGAGAGAACGAATGCAATGATTGAACATGCAAGGCGAATAAGAACAGTTTTTTTGATTGGGAAGCATGCATGTTTTTCGTAAAGTAGGCTAACCTATTCTGCACTCAGTTATCTAGTCCAAGTTTAGCCAAAGGAAATTACGAAATCATTTCGTCATTGTGATTAACTGTAATAGTACACATAGTGATTAAATGTGTATTAAAGTACATAGCCTACGACTCACTGTGTATCCTCCATAGTCCTGTGGGGGAACCCAACTGGTAGGACGGCCGCCATACGAAGTGTCTCCTTTATGGAGGCCTCCAGGACAGGATAACGCGAGCGGTCAAATGGTTTAGGTAAAATATGTGAGCCTGTCACGCTGTGGATTTCGTCATATATTCTTTTCTGCCACTGCAATTAAACGTTTTGATATACATTGAGTATATTCAATGGTAAGAGGCAGCATATAAAGCATACAGTTAAAATGATTTCACGGTCAACGATACTCATTTTCATATATAGAATAGTCTACTATTTCCAAATTTTCAACATAACCATCATGTTACGTATCACAGTAATTGGAAATCAAACTTATTGGTAAAAAAACACGAGACAAAAAAATCATCTTTTAATGGTGATATCTACACGAAATGGACGCACACCTACCTGTGGATTTCTTATCATGTAGATAATAAACCAAAGTATGGTCATGGTTGTAGACTCGATTCCACCGCCAAATAATTCGTAAACAATATGGCCGATGCTGACGTCACTGAGAAGCGCGAGGCGTTCCCTGTCCCCGTCATTCTTTGCTTGTTGCTGTTCTTTCAGCAATATGTCCAGTAAATCACGATTGTTATCACGAAGTGTTTCCTGTAACAAGCACATCATTATGTCTTCGTCAAAAAATGAAGCGAAAAAAGGAAAGAAATATAAAAGTATAATTATGAAATATATGTCTTCACTTATTCATAGATTTTTATTTATCAGAGCAAACTTTTGAAATGTTCTTATATTCATTATCATGGTTTACGTAAAAAATTGATAGCACATGTACAACTGGTAACGTTTCACTATTTACATTATTCCTGTTAAGGAGTTTGTTTGATCAGATACTATATGATGCCTCGTACATTATGACATCACATATAGAAACGAAACATGTGATGTGCTCTGACGTCACACTTACCTTATGTTCGGATATGACTTGGGTAAGCCACTCGTCCCGTCGCTTTAAACTGCCGAGGAAACGGCGCCAGCTAGGAATAGGGAACCTCTAATAACAGAAACAAGTGTCGCACATTATACAGGATTTCCCCGAAAATTGTCTGCTATATCATTTAGTTATCTATAAAGTCATTTATCAATAACTACATAGTTTTTCTCGAAATTTTGTGTTTTGACAATCTGAAATTATGTTTTCACTTGGTTTAAAGTAACAAGACATTACCTACTACCTGATTTCAACTTTTAATATATAACTGGGACTGTACCAAGACATTGTTTCTGTTAAGACGAACAATGGAGTAACTTGTATTATCTATCAGTAATATAAAACTTGTTCTACAGGTCATATAGAGCCAATACTGACGATATCAAATACGTTTCTTTTATTCTTGGACACTTTTTGCATAACTTAATTACGAATATGATTTGTAAATGAGATTTAAACTCATTTTAACTTATAAAACGTACAAATAATTGTTTTGATAAGACTATTTCAGCGGAACTACACACATTATGTTTAGCAGCTTTTAATTGTACATAGGATTACGGTCGCCTTCTAGCTTCGGGCTCGAGGGAATTTCCCTTTAGCTCAGTGGTAGAGCGTCCAACTAGGAACCTGGACATCGAGTGTTTGATCCCCGGTGGAAGCACACTACTCTCTTTTCTGTTACTAATGGTGTCCGTGGCACACACTTTGGTGACAAGGTGTTACAACCTGGGTTGTGATGTTCGAGGGCGAACACTTTTAAAAAGGGGGGAGTAGTGTGGCAGGTATCTGGAAATCGAGGGCTCGATCCCCGGTGGAAGCACACTATTCTCTTTTCTGTTGGGCTTCATATGCATTAAATCTAATTATATTAAACCTATTTCCTTTAACCTGGTTATCATTTACGTTCCCTATACACTGTACCGAGGCAACTACAGACTCTACCCGGCCGATATCATTTCTCACGAGGAGCACATTTTACCCCGAAACTCCTTGGCTCGTCTCCAAAGCCATGACCTCTGGTTGTGTTACATACACGGTATTCCCATTCATAACACGCCGATTAGGGTACTCTATTCACTGTTGTATGATACAGGTAAGATTATTCAGACACGAACATTGAAACATGGAAGATCGCTACTTGTTTTTCGTAGAATTTATATAGTCCGCAATACTTAATTACGAAGTACAAAATATCACGGGGTTATAAATAGCTCTCTCTGATATAGTGACGTCGGCCTAGAACGGGATACGTAGTATCAACTATTTTATGCCACTTTGTTGAACTGATTGGGTTATTCGATTTCCTTCCTACCTAAACCTAAACTAGCTGTTTCCTTTTTTAGAGACAATGGCAACTGTACCAGACGGTGTATATATACAATACAGCAAACTGACTGATGCGCCTTGAAGTCGTTTATAGCGCCCAAGTATGTCAGAAATCTGGCAGTGAGCCATGTATATAATAATGTGAAGCTGCCTCTTAGTCAAAACAAAGCAGTCATTAGCATATACACTGGTCATCGTACTTAAATGATGCAATGTCGTTATCATCACGTGGGGATTATAATATGTAACGTGTAAAATGTAGTCTATATCACAGGAAATCACCGTTAGCCACTACATTATATATATTAGAGGGTGTAGGTGGTCACTAACTGATTATCACTTGTTGTTGATAACGATTAACTCAGTATACTATACCCCACTGTCTGTGGGTGGGAGATAGGATAAACTTTCCCAGGTCAAAGACCGTTCATCCTAGTTCAGCAGAGTACGGGGCAGTGTCACCTTATTTACTATCGTACTACCAATCTTTAAAATCCAATCTATTACAGTAATGTGAATGGAAAATTTTACTGAATGGAATTTCCGTCAGTATAGAGTTACATGCGTATACATTCATCCATACAGTCGATACACCCTAGTACGGTCGTGAAAAGTAAATTTGTTTGTCTCCTGAGTCGTAATAAAGAACCCGAACGTGATATTCGAGCATCCGAGGAATGCGACCTTTGGACTTTCAGTGAAACGACCAATCACAGCCTGTATACTGAACACACCCATCGCATTCGATAACAACAATTCAGAACCTTCTAGTCAACTGACATACATACTCTCATTCCAAGCGGTCCAGGTCAGACACCCACGTTGGCATTTGGAAAAACCAAACTACCCAACCTAATACTGTTGGCGTAAATCAACGAAACGCGGGGCATACTAGATTTTATGATAAAATACGCACATTGAATACAGAAATAGATCAATTTTATGAGAATGTAATTAGGATCTAAAGGAAAATCTAAGCAATAACAGTTATCACTATATATCTTGTAGACATTGGCATAGTTTATTATAATTTTTAAATAAATTGTCAATCGTTAGGGAATCGGTTGAGCGCGTGAACACCCGGAACCTGTTACACGTGGGCAGTGGTGAAGATCGTCCACACCAGACCGAGTACACAGCTTAACACAACCTTCTATCCGGGACTGAGCAAAGATCGATCGCTTGGGAAGTTTTCATATCTTGACGTAAATCAAGAAAACGTATATATTTGCAGATATCAAAGTTGTACTTTTTACACAAACAATGTACGTATTAAAACTTTGATATCACACCTTTCCAAACTGACGAATCTTATTGAGGATATTTATTTGCAGACTATCTTAAATAAAAAGACGAGCATTTATAAATTGATATACATACCTCAAGAAACGGGAAAACGTCGACGATGTTGAAACTTTCGATGTTATCAACAATGTCTTGAATAATATGGAGCTGGTCGAGAAAAGCATCGTCCACATCCTCAAAACGCCTGTCCAAAATGCACATGCACAACACATTAGCTACCACTCTGGATATGTCAAGTTTGGGATCAAACGACGTACCGGTCTTACAAACAAGAGCCAGTTTGTCACTCAAACTCTCCGTTTCCAACATGATCATGTCTTCCAAATGAACTTTGCCTCCCTTTGTCTGCGAGGAGAGAAATGAATGTACAAGCTTTCTGTAAAACTTCAAGCCAGGTCCTGCATCACTCATTACGATGTCTTTCCCTTGACCAAGAAGAACCTCTACGGTCTTGCGTTGTTTCGGCCTCCCAGCAAATACACGACCTTGGCGCACGAAACTGGAAATGGCAGAATCAATGGTGTTCACCACAAGAACATTTTCACCTCCCATGTTCAACCAGACGAGGGGTCCATATTTGTCACCGAGATTGGTCAGGGCAAGGTGGAGTGCCTTACCAAATACCTGCGGCATGTTCCCAATGAGGGGCCATGCCATAGGTCCTGGCGGCAATCGTGGTTTCCGATACTGTTGCAGCAACCAAAACGTCGTCAGGAATACAGCCGTAGCAACTAAAACAGTAGACAGGTCCACCTGGTTTAACAATCTCTCAAAAAATGCCATGTTCTTTGATATAATTTCTCAGATACTTAATATCAACTCTTCTTCTGTAAATTTAACTATTTTGCTTATATACTGTCTTTTTTTGCTAAATTCTGCCTCTGGTGACCAGAACAGGATACGTACACATACGATTTTCGCTTTACTATGGTTATAAAGACACGAGGGTTTGTTTATGTACCGAGAGCGTACGGACACTCCTACTTACTACGTACTGCCACGTGACTTGTGTTTACAAACATTGGCCCGCTGCCTCCCTCTAGGTCACTGGGACGCAGTACATGCTATTTATATATTATACCCAGCAAAGCCGAGAGAAGTAAGCATTGCTTCATTAAATAGTCAGTTGCTTTCTGGAGAGACACTTGTATCACAGTGTCTGCATTTCATGCTGTTTATCATCACTTACATTGCACCTCATCCATGCTAGTTTCTTATTTTCAAATATCAACATATAAATCTATGTAGATATATAGGTTTGTTGATAAAAAACTTTCCCCGTGCCAATAGTTGTTGCTAACCATGCCTTGCTGGAGTGACATACATGTATCAATTGTGGGACGGTGGACTGAAGTATGAAATTAGTATTTGGAACATAAAAGGATTTATCTATTTTAAGCTACTGCATAACATAGATACGCATTTATGCTTTATTTATATGAAAGAAACACCTGCTAACGTATTGTCTGGCGCTGATGTACGATTTTAACATGATGACCTGGAGTAACCCAGAGGCGGTTACAGTGCTAGTATAGGCAGCTTTTCACATTGTGGTACACAACTGCTGTTCTGACACAATCAATAATAACCTGTTCTCAGACGGATCAGCAGAAACCGGATGTTTAGGATCAGCACGCAGGAGCGCGTGGTTAGGGGAACTAATTATGTTAGTTAATGTTATAACAAAGCTTTGCCTGACATAGCTTGTACAAATGTTTAAATAAAGCTCTGACCTACATTTGTATGCTAAATAAAGGACTCACCAAAGCTCGGCCGTGAACCTTCAGGTAAGTATACGGCTGGTATGTGGGTCAAGATTGATAAAAATAGAACGTAAACGTTGGGATAAAATGACGAAGGATTTAAACCTCCCGAGCACATTAATCTAGTTAGTGTTATACCTTAAATTCCACACACACATACCTATTTAGTTTATTTATTTATTAATCATAATCTGAGTAGTACGAGGTTATAGTAATGCTAAAGTAAACAGAGTGAGCTTGCATCAGTTTCGTTCCTGATTGTTTTTCAAATACCTATTGCCATGCAGAGACGTAAAATAAATGTCAGTTAAAAGTTTATGTTATCCTGCTGAATATACACATTCAATTAATTAACACACATTGGTAAAAATACAACCAACGAAGGAGATGAAATGAGAAATACGTACGTAATATGATAAGAAATACGAAATATGCATAAACAAGCAAAGATATAAAATGGTCAGGTATGTGCAAACACAAATGAGAGATGTAAAATTTGTATTACAAAACTGTATCTACAAACAAAGATGTAGAAATAAGATATATATCGATATACAAAGATGTACGCAAGACACATACTGATGATTGTAATTTGATATTTGGTAAAAGACAGTATATGTAGATATGTGAACATATGAGTTAAAAAGGAAATTTTAAATTTCCCGAGCGCNTAAGAGGGAAACCTTATCGGATAAGTTAAGTTTAAAACAAACATGGATAGTAGAAAAGCGGTGTATGTATGAGTAAAGTCCGTGTATATCCCCGGACCACTTAACTATTTTGATAAGTAAGCACTTTTTCAGTATGTCTGCTGTATTTGTGAATGAACCGTGAGATATCGACAACATTGTGTACGGACTTGATAAAAATGATGCACATTTGATAAATTCTAACAGTTAAATACCATCAGAAAATGTTATATAGTATATGATATAGCTAATATAATAAAGACAAACACGATTATTAACATCGGAACTTGTAAACGATGACATGTCTAGTGTATGGCAGAAATAACACCTACGCTGAATCCTAGGATAGCTATAAGGAATATACAATTTCTTTCAACCACATTCACCTAACGTTAAGATCTCTGTACTAGATTTAGGGACCATGGTTACGTATTCCCGATGGTTCGAGTTTTCTCCAATAGTCCCGTAAAGCTCGAAACATCGAAGTTTGACTGTAGTGTCAGACATGTTATGTTAAAACCTTACGTGGTCCTGGTGCCCATGACGTAGTCCTATTCGTCATTGGTCAACAAAAGTACAATGTAGTCTCTACTAACAAGCAACTAGCATGATGATGATGATGAAGATGCATTGAAAATAATGATTTTACATTGATGATGATGATGATGATGATGATGATGATAATGATTGATTGAGATTGATTGATGATGATGATGATGATGATGAATGATGATGATGATGATGATGATGATGAATGATGATGATGATGATGATGATGATGATGATGATGATGATGATGATGATGATGATGATGATGATGATGATG